TTCTCTCTCTACTTTTCCTCTCAATCCCAAACTCCTATGCTCTTTGAATTCCAAACCACTCTCTCTTTTCCAATCCAAAAGGGTTATGTGCAAGGCACAATTTTAGAGAGAGAGAGAGAAGGGACGTGCAAAAATAGGTGGTGTAAGAGGCTTCAAGTCTTTGTAGATGGTGAAACAAAAAGACGATGTTGGTAGTAAAAGGTGGTGATTGAAATTTATGGAACGAATATGAAGCAAGACTCGACAACATCAAAGAGGGTGCAACAGCTGTTAGACAGAGAGTAGCAATCAGATTGAGGGCTTCATCGATCAGATTGAGGGCTTCACCAATCAAGGAAACTAGAAACAGAAGCTCGATGCTCGAGAGATGAAATACCAAATCACGAACCTTACTTTGATACCATGTTAAGAAACTGTATTTCTGTATATTTGGGCCTTAGGCCCCCATAAAAGGTTATTTCAGAATACTGCAGAGAACTTTATTAATTTTTTAATCAAGAATATACAATAATCCGTATAAATACGGTCAGTAACAATTAAAAGAAAATACCAATAATTATGGATAGACACTACCTAATCTTATCAAGAGATGTATCCATACAGATGCATATCGATACCGATATGTATCAGTATGATACATATCTTAATCTTATCAAGAGATATATTGATATGTATCCATAATAATATATTAATCAATATATGCATACCCTAACAATCTTGACCAAGCTTTTATATATATATATATATATAAATAAAGGAAAGACGTATACAAAGAGGCCATTTACTATTGATACATAAAGGTAAACAATACTCTTGTCCGTCAGTTGTCCATTGAGAATTGAGTACGTAGTCATACTCGTGAGCATGAACATCGGACGAAGAATTGAGTATCGTGAGCATGAACATCGGACGAAGGTTGGACATGACACACGGCATCTCCAAACAAAAACATCCATTATGTGCATAGGAGGAAAAGTAACAGTGCAAAAACTACAATTGCAATCAGTGTTTAAAAAAAATCGCCATAGACGGATCGAATCGATGAAAAAAAGGGGAATCATCCGTTCTAGAGAGAACCGGACGATTCTGCATAGTGACTCGCTGATTCACTGTACGGAATCGGCGAGTCCCGTACGGAAGAACATAAATTTTTTTTTTTTATTATTTTTTTTTTATTTTTTGTAATCCATGATAGATTTTTTTGTAATACTTGATCGATTTTTTTGTAATCCATGAACGAATTTTTTGTTTTTTTTTTTTTGTAACCCATGAAAGAATTTTTTGTAATCCATGATCGAATTTTTTGTAATCCATGATCGAAATGTTTGTTTTTTTTTCTTGTAATCCATGATTGAATTTTTTGGTTTTTTTTTTTT